CCTCCTCCTCCTCCTCCTCCTCCTCCTCCTCCTCCTCCTCCTCCTCCCCTGAGAGGCAACGACAGGGGGGGGCTCGCATAGGGTGGGATGCATCGACCTGGAATCGCTGATATACATCGTCGATAGATCGGCGATAGGTCCCTGGACAGTGAAACAGCACCTTCCTAGTTAGGTTGGGGTTATTGGGCCCATATCGGCGATCAATAAGCGATCGAGGGTCGATGCATCCACCCCTCTGCCTATCCCACCCTATCGTTGGGCCTGATCCCCACCCAGTTCACGCGAGGATTCGCGCCGGCGCCATGTGGGACTCAACAATTTCTAAGCGTCCCCACATGACGCCAGCGCGAGCTGTGACATGCAGACAGACCCCCCAAACAACAATCCAAGAATACGAGACCCTACAGCGGCCCAACTGAAAAACATCCCCAAGATGCACAAGAGCATCCAACAAGGACGAAGCACACTGGGGAGCCCTCCCGGAACCGGCCTCGATCTCATGCTTCGGTCCGGCCGAAACAACCTCCCCCTCACCCCCTGAGGTAACCTCTGCTGTCGCCAGGGCACAAGATCACTGACTCCTGGACCTAACAAACCTTGCGCCTCACCCTTAGTGGGCCCATAAAACGGCAGGACCGTTTTCTCCCCGTTTCCGAAAGCGTGCCTCGAGAACATGGACACGGTTGAAAACGGCAACCGACAAAAACAACCACGGGGGAGAAACGGCTCCGGGATTGGGACTGGAGCTGGAACGGGAAAAACCACACCGCGACGGAACCGGGAAAGACAAAAACGGCGTCGGAACGGGCAGGAAAAAAAACGGCTAAGAACGGAACTGGCACCACGAACGGCCCCGTCGTACCCGAAGGCCCACGGAGGTCTCACCTTTGCCTTCGCCGCCTTCCGCCGGCGGAGACACCGCCATCTCTGGTGGGCCGATTCTCCGCTACCACTACCATAGGAAGGAGAGGGAGGAGGAGGAGGAGGAGGAGGAGGAGGAGGAGGAGGAGGAGGAAGAGGAAGGGAGGAGGAAGGAAGAGGAGGAAGAGGAGGAGGAGAAGGAGGAGGAGGAAGAGAGGAGGAGGAGGAGGAGGAGAACCTCCCCATCCTCGATTCTCCCTTGTCCTACCCGTGGTAGTGGTGGTGGAAAGCTGGCCCATCAATCTCCACCTCCGCCGCCTGCCCCCGGCCTTCCGCCGGCCTCCGCCGAGGGCGGGACGAGCCGAAGGGGAGGCCACGTCTGGAACGCCTCCTCCTCATCATCATCATCATCCTCCTCCTCCTGCTCCTCCTCCTCCTCCTCCTCCTCCTCCTCCTCCTTCTCCTCCTCTCCTCCTCCTCCTCCTCCTCCCTCTCCTCCTCCTCCCTCCTCCTCCCCCTCCCCCCCCTCCCCCTCCTCCTCCCCCTCTCCCCCTCCCCCCTCCGCCTCCCCCTCCCCCTCCCCCTCCCCCTCCCCGCTCCCCCTCCTCCTCCTCCGCCCTCCTCCTCCTCCTCCTCCTCCTCCCTCCTCCTCCTCCTCCTCCTCCTCCTCCTCCTCCTCCTCCTCTTTCCGCTCCTCCTCGCCTCTCGGCGCAGCGCGCCCGCGAGAGCGCCACTCACAGGCACAGGTCGCCGGCAAAGGGGTCCCAGGGCGGCGTGCTCGGGAGCGGCCTGCTGATGGCCGCGTGAAACGAGGGCACGGGCCGGGGGGCCCAGAAGCAGGGCACCGGCACAGTGCCGCAGGCACATGCGATAAGGTGCTCTGCCACGGAGCAGGCTGCAAAATGATCACGAGGGTGCGGCCGCTGTCCACACGCCGGCTCTCCGAGGGTGCCCCTATGCAGGAGCTCGATGATAACCCCCCTGGCTGGGGGGCAGCGGGGCCTTTCATTCCGGGAGGCCGAGGGCGGTGGCACGCCCGGAAGGACAAGAGGAAGCCAGGACGAGGACGAAATCGGGTGAGGCGACATCCAGAACCTCTGAGATCCAACGGATCTGGAGGATGTCTCGGGCGCCGCGGCCTTCTCGGAGCCTTCTGGAACGCTCTGAGAGCGGTCTGGAACGCCCTGGAACGGATGCATCCTGGTCCCGGCCCCGCCCGACCTGCCCGTGGGTGAGCCTCCATGGGAGCCTCCGTGGACCTCCGCCCAGATTTCGACCACCCCTCTCAGCCCTTTCGTGCAGACTGGATCCAGACTTCGTCCAGGTTTCGACCAGATGTCGACCAAATCCGACGAATTCCACACAGTCGACCCGTGCAACAAGGATGCACGATGAGGACGCAAGGGCCATGGAGGGCCGTTTCGGAGCTTTTCGGGCGGGGCGCGGCCAGCGACAGTGGCCAGGGATGGGCCGAGGCGGCAAGGATGCAAGGGAACCCTTGGGAAGGTTGCCATCCTCCCAGACCCCCGACGTTATGGGTTTTTCACAATTTCGACCCCCAGAGGTCTCGACCCCTTCCCCGGCATCCTGAGTTGTTTCTTGACGGTCCCGAGAACCGGTAGGGGCCGCCAAAGGCCGAAAATAGTGCGCGTGTGTATAGAGATATATATATATATATATATATATATATATATAGAAACGCCCGTCGTGAGTTTGTCATCACTCGAGGGGGTCTAGTCTTATTATGCGGGCTGGCTGTACGCAATCCTCGCGAGGACGGCCTCACATGATGGGCACATGTTCAACCACCACTATCATACAGTATGTAGGACGGGGGAGAAGGGAGGACGACGAGGTCCTCCTCCTCCTCCTCCTCCTCCTCCTCCTCCTCCCTCCTCCTCCTCCTCCTCCTCCTCTCCTACATATGGTGGTGGTGGTGGTGGTGGTGGTGGTGGTGGTGGTGGTGGTGGTGGTGGTGGTGGTGGTGGTGGAAAATGGGCCCATCATCACAAGAGTGGCCATCCCCACGGGGGCGGCGCGCGCCACCCTCACGAGCGAGCCGGGCAGCCGCCGGGGGGGGGCGCGCGGTGGCCTCTCCCAAGGCGGGAGCCGCGGAGCGGGCCAGCACGCCCGAGAGGAGCCCTTCTCGGACGCGCGACGTCCGGATTTTGTCAGGGCCGCGTCCCTGGAAGTCCCGACCCCAGCCCCAGGATCCCCAATCTTTTTCCATGCTTTCCGGATGTCCCTCTTCCCCCCCATTCCCATTGGCACGAAAAGCAGCTCTTGTGTTTGTGCTCGCGCTGGCCCAGACATGCGACGTCCTGATGTTTGTCGATGTGGCGTCCCCGGAAACCGCGACCCTCTCCCCAGGACCGGCTTTTCGTCCTGAGTCGGTTTCTGACGGCCCCGAGGCCTGGCGAAAGGGCCCCTGGGGCTGAAAATGGCCAAAAGCCTCCCCTCATGATTTTTGTACGACGCGATCATGTCTGGGTTGCCCTCGACACAATCGGCCGCGGCCCTCGACAGAATCGGCCGCGGCCCGGTCGACCACCTGGCGGCCCTCGACGACGTCGGCCGCGGGACCTCTCTCTCGGGGCCCCTCCTGGCGGGAGTGTCGAGGAAGAGATCCGGCCGTGGCGACGAGAAGCCTCCTGGACGCCCCAACAAACAGAAAAACCCAGAGACAGGTGTATATTTACATATTTCCATTCCTATATTTCCATGACCCAGATCCCCCCCCCCCCACCCCTCCCACCCTAAACCGGACCCCCCCCTGCTAGGGACGCCCTGGACGCTTTTTCGGACGTCTCGGCGGCTCCCTGGACGCCCTTGGAAAAGGTCCGCTGGCCCTTCCTGGCCTCCAAGGGCGCCTTGCTGGGCCTTGCGAACAGACTCAAGGCGGTCAGAGGGGTCATCGGACAGGCGCAAGAGAGACCCAAGACAGCACAAAAGCGCCCCAAGAGGAAACGCGATGGTCTGAAGACGGCCCAAGAGGCCCCCAAGACGCCCCAAGAGGCCTTTAAGAGAGCCCCGAAGAAGCAACCATCGTCCCGTCCCTTCGGGTAAATGTGTATTTCTAGCATATCTGATTTTTGGGTCTTCGCAGCGTCCAAAACGGCCCGATGGGCCCCCGATATCGCCCCAAGACGGCCCAAGAGGCCCCCCAGAAGGTTTGAACATGTGTAAGACGTCATTCCGCTGGACACCCCCCCCAGCAGCCCTCGAAAGTGGCGCCAGTTTCGCAGTTCGCAGTCTTCAGGAATGACGAGATCTAATCTAAGTCTGCGTACGGCGTCACTCCGCTGGACACCCAGCAACGCTCGTGAATGGCGACTGTTTCGCAGTGCACAGCCACCCTGGATGGTACGCTTTAAACAGAATCCCCGTATGACGTCACCCCGCTGAACCGCCCAGCAAGTTTCTTTGAAGTGGCGACAGCTTTGTAGTTCGCATCCCCCAAGGGATGGCGAGGTCGAATCTGAGTCTGCGATGGGGCGTCACTCCGCTGGGCCCCCAGCAGCTCTTGAACGTGGCAACAGATTCGCAGGTCGCAGCCTCTCAGGAATGGCGAGGTCGAGTCTGAATCTGCGTAAGGATTCACTCCGGTGGACCCCCCAGCAGCCCTCGAACGTGTCGACGGCTTCGCAGCTCTCAGCCAATCGGAGTCTTCGTAAGACGTCACTCCGCAACCCCCCCGGCAGACATCGAAAGTGGCGACAGATTCGCAGGTCACAGCCGTCCAGGGATGGCGAGGTCTTATATGTCTGCGCAGGACGTCATTCCGCTGGACCCCCCCCCAGGGATGGCGGGGTCGAACCTAAGTCTGCGTATGATGTCACTCCGCTGGACCCCCGGCTGCCCTTGAAAGCGGCAACAGTGTCGCAGTTCGCAGTCCCCTCCAGGTGACGAGGTCTAATCTGAGTCTGCGTAAGACGTCACTTCCCTGGACCTCCCAGCAGCCCTCGAAAGTGTCGACAGATTCGCAGGTCGCAGCCCCCCCCA